AATTATTTCGGTAACTTTTTCTATATATTTCCAATCTCTAAGAAGGGTTGTATTAAATTTCCAGAAACCTCTACCTCTCTCAAATTTTGAAAATTTTAGTTTTAATTCTATCATTGAATGATCAGTTCTGTACCCTGGAATAATATCAGAGTTTTCATAAACTGATAATAACATCTGTGATATCAGAAAAAAATCCAGTCTTCCCTTCTTAACAGGAGCTTTCTTGAACCAAGTGTATCTCCTTAAATTCGGGTGATTTACACGCCAAGGATCACACAAATCAAATTCCTCCATAAGCTTGAATACTTCTTTTCGAGAATTTGGATGATTTAAATTATTGTAGTTATAAACATCTATATCTGGGTCGAGGATTAAGTTCCAGTCACCACAAACTATCAAAAATTCATTATCAAAGGTTTGGATAACCTCTCTGATATTTTTAAAGAACGATGGTGAGTCCTTGTTTGGACCATAGATGTTAATTAGAGTAAATGAATATCCAGCTAACTGGACACTTAATGCAATCATACTACCATGATCATCTCTCTTGATATCGATAACCTTGTAATCAAAATTTGTATTAAAAAGTATAGCAACTCCTCTAGCATTACCATTGAAATTACAAGACAGACCCATATTACCATATCAGGTCAACACCTCGGACACAGCGACGGACGGACAGACCCATATTACCATATCAGGTCAACACCTCGGACACAGCGACGGACGGACAGACCCATATTACCATATCCTCCCACTGTGTTGCGGTGGAGAATATTAATTAAATAAACCGGAGACCAAAAAACAATATGACGCAATATTTCAATCTGAATAGTTTATTTCATAAATATAACAAGTTCTTATGCTTATAAAACACTATCCTAACTGCCCTCATTGTGTGCTTGTTTGTGGCAATCCGATCAGAGATAGCATCCCAGCCTCAGTTGCTCAAAGGTTGGTTACTGTAACCAGTGGATGGTGACAAATTCAAATTGTTGCCAGTAAAAACAAGGGGTTTTCAAAGTGAGATAAATCCCCAGAACACATCAATCTGGTCTGTCTCTACAAATCTATAGCAGTGAAATGATGTCAGAATATATGTTCTTGATTTTCTTGTATTTCGAGTATTAATATTTTAATTTTTCCCTAACCACTGGTTAAACCTTGGAGCAACTGGGGCCAGAACGGTGTTAGCATTCTGCTATAACACTGTGCATAACATATTTTACCAGTAATAAGCCAGTCCAGAGGAGAAGGGAAAGGGGCTCATCCTTAAACAAGAGGCCCAATGGGCCTGCATCGCTCACCTGGTATTAATCTCACACTGGTAAACTTAAAAGTGGACTAAAATACAGCTAAAGGTAGAATATCAGTGTGACCTTGAATGTCAAACAATGACATTAGGTTGAAAGTTGGTCAAGGTCATTCATTTAAACACATTTGAACAAACTTGGTAGCCCTTCATCCCAGCATGCTACGGGCCGAATATCATCACCCTAGGCCTAATGGTTTACTGAGAAGAAGTTGTTGAAAGTAAAATGTTGACAACGGACGGACGGACGAATGACGATGGAGGACGGACGGAAGACGGACGCCGCACCAAGCCATAAGCTCACTTGGCCCTTTGGGGCAGGTGAGCTAAAAAGAATACAATGTAATCCCAGCATGCTTCTGGCCGAATATCATCACCCTAGGCCTAATGGTTTACTGAGAAGAAGTTGTTTAAAGTAAAATGTTGACAACGGACGGACGGACGGAGGACGGACGACTGACGACGGAGGACGGATGGAAGACGGACGCCGCACCATGCCATAAGCTCACTTGGCCTTTTGGGCCAGGTGAGCTAAAAAGAATACAATGTAATCCCAGCATGCTTCTGGCCGAACATCATCACCCTAGGCCTATCGGTTATTCAGAAGAAGTCGTTGAAAGGTTTTAAACATATTTGACCCCTGTAGCCTTGAAAATGGATGAAGGTCATTTATTTGAACAAGCTTGGTAGCCCTTCATCCCAGCTTGCTTCTGGCCAAATATCATCACCCTAGGCCTTATGGTTTACTGAGAAGAAGTTGTTGAAAGTAAAATGTTGACAACGGACGGACGGACGACTGACGATGGAGGTCGGACGGAAGACGGACGCCGCCCCATGCCATAAGCTCACTTGGCCCTTTGGGGCAGGTGAGCTAAAAAGAATACAATGTAATCCCAGCATGCTTCTGGCCGAACATCATCACCCTAGGCCTATCGGTTATTCAGAAGAAGTCGTTGAAAGGTTTTAAACATATTTGACCCCTGTGACCTAGAATATAAGTCAAGGTCATGTATTTGAACAAACTTGGTAGCCCTTCATACCAGCATGTTACTGGCCAAATATCATCACCCTAGGCCTTTTGGTTATTCAGAAGAAGTGGTTGAAAGGTTTTAAAAATATTTGACCCCTGTGACCTTCAAATTGAATGAAGGTCATTTATTTGAACAAGCTTGGTAGCCCTTCATCCCAGCATGTTACTGGCCAAATATCATCACCCTAGGCCTTATGGCTTACTGAGAAGAAGTTGTTTAAAGTAAAATGTTGACAACGGACGGACGGACGACTGACGATGGAGGTCGGACGGAAGACGGACGCCGCACCATGCCATAAGCTCACTTGGCCCTTTGGGGCAGGTGAGCTAAAAAGAATACAATGTAATCCCAGCATGCTTCTGGCCGAACATCATCACCCTAGGCCTATCGGTTATTCAGAAGTTGTTGAAATGATTTAAACATATTTGACCCCTGTGACCTAGAATATAAGTCAAGGTCATGTATTTGAACAAACTTGGTAGCCCTTCATCCCAGCATGCTTCTGGCCGAATATCATCACCCTAGGCCTATTGGTTATTCAGAAGTTGTTTAAATGTTTTAAACATATTTGACCCCATGTGACCTTGAAAATGGATGAAGCTCATTTATTTGAACAAACTTGGTAGCCCTTTATCCCAGCATATTACTGGCCAAATTTAGGCACCCTAGGCCTCTTGGTTATTCAGAAGAAGTTGATGAAAGGTTTTAAACATATTTGACCCCTGTAGCCTTGAAAATGGATGAAGGTCATGTATTTGAACAAACTTGGTAGCCCTTTATCCCAGCATGCTTCTGGCCAAATATCATCACCCTAGGCCTTTTGGTTATTCAGAAGAAGTTGTTTAAATGTTTTAAACATATTTGACCCCTGTAGCCTTGAAAATGGATGAAGGTCATTTATTTGAACAAGCTTGGTAGCCCTTCATCCCAGCATTCTTCTGGCCAAATATCATCACCCTAGGCCTAATGGTTTACTGAGAAGAAGTTGTTTAAAGTAAAATGTTGACAACGGACGGACGGACGGAGGACGGACGACTGACGACGGAGGACGGACGGAAGACGGACGCCGCACCATGCCATAAGCTCACTTGGCCCTTTGGGCCAGGTGAGCTAAAAAGAATACAATGTAAAATGTAAACTCACTGGTGTTATTCCTAATTATATCAAATTAGTTTAATACAAAAGTCCACTTAAAGATGCCTCCCACTATTTCAAGGATATTTATTATAAAATTATATTTCTACCATCTCCTTTTAATTGGAAACTTTCCAGTTTTACAACCTGTGAAATAAATTTTAGAAGTGTCAGAACATTTAGCAAGAAACCGCCAATGGATGTACGGCTGAATTGCTGCTACCATTTCATGCAAAACTTGTTACATAATTTCACAAAACTACAAGTTCAGAAGTTACAACCTGAAAATACAGCACTACAAGTCTTCCTGTAGCTTTCACAAACATAATATGCTTGTCATTTTTTGACACCATAAGTGTTGGATCAGTGTATTTTCTAACTTCAGACATGTGCATGAAAGTAAACCTTAATTCAAACATACACCTAAATGCAAACATATGATAACATCCCTTATCATCAGTCACAGAAGCATACATATAGTTCACTAGCAGCACTTGAAACCTATCAAGGGTTGCATTTCCAATAAAACATCTATCATCCTTGTGAAGTTGACCTAATAATTGTACTTTCTGTGAAACCAGTCAAAGACAAACATTTAATAAAGATGAGGATGCTGAAAAGACACTGTACATGAATAAGGTTGCATCTAACATACAGAAGCATATTTATTCAAGTAATCCTTAGATACACAGACCATGTAAGTTTAGTTGATGTTGAACAAGTAGTTACTTGGAAACTTAACCATTCTTAACCATAGTTAAGATGGGCTTAACCATAGTTAAGATGGGTCCTGATCTTAACCAATCTTTTTAACCTGGTCATTTAAGCAGAAAACTGAAGCCAGAACCAGCATCCGAAGCACCAAGTGTGATGGGCATCCTTAGATACACCAGCCAGTTTTATCCCAAAATATGTGATTGCATTTAGTCAAACCATCATTTGAGAGAGGACCTGTATTAACCACACAAAAGAAACCATGTGCCACTGGCTAGCTTACAACCCCTCGAGATGGAATCTCTAAGTGTACCAAAAATGCAGTGAGATTGTTTCATTTTGTAATATTACATGTTTTGTATGCTTCAATGTATATAAACTCTGTTTTGATCCATAACAACAAGATAGGGATGTCAATGATAGGCTCAGCAGCTTACATCAGTGTTGCAGTTCATACAGTACTAGAGGGAACAGATGTTTTGAAGGACAACCGTTTTTGGCAAAACATAGAGTAAGCAGTTAAGGTTGAATACACTAGTACAGTTTAAACATGACCTTTGTTTTATCTAAACACAATATGTTGGTGATAACCTCAATATCTGTACTGCATGAACAGGTTTTAATAATAATAAAGTAAACAAATACTTTAACTTAAAATGGAATTTTATTTCCCTTTTGAAAACATCATTGAAATCTAGAACTTAGTTCTAGGAATGATAAAAATGTATTTCTGACACTTCTATTTCACTTTCATAAGAAAGTCATAAGTCAAATCCTGACTGGCAATATACCATTATTTCTGCAATAAAATTCATGATATGGCTCTGTAGTGTTCAGAATGAATAGCTTATTCTCAGCTCCATATAAAATGTTACTGCCTAACCGTTTTTGATAACATTGGCACAAGTACATGTACAACTAAAGAAGTGCATTCAAGCACAATTCACGACGTTGTTTGAGTATGTACACTTATTTCTGTTGACATAAGGACTTGATTGCTCCATAGTCTCCTGCCATGTTTTAAGCTCACGTGACTGTCTTCATGCATCTTACAGCCTCCAGCCTTATTACACCTCATGACTGTCACATGACCACCTCCGATGCAGTGTTTTGCCATGGTATATCTCATGTTGCTGTTTCCTGCCGTGGTATAGATCTCCGGACTATTTCTAATACTGTACAGGATCTGCCAAATTACAGCACTGTCACATGTTTTGTCTCCAGGCATTCTACAGCAGCCATGTAACAGTCTAGGTGACTGTCTCCATGTTTCACAGACCTGTCGGGTTGTTGATCACACGACCCTGTTATGATCATGCAGCCTCCTGCCTAGATATAGACCATGTGACAGTCATATGACTGTCTCTATGCATCATACAGCTGCCTGCCAGGCGGTGAGGATCCTCATCACAGTGCCCACGGAGAGTTGGGGCAGGTTTGCGCACAGCACTGGCAGTGTAGGGGCCCCTGGGGATACAAGAAATCACATGTCAAATTAACACACCATCGAAAAACATTATAAGTTTTCCAACTTTCCAAAAAATGTTCTTGTATAAAATAGGCAAACTGTTTAGAGAAAAGAAAAGATTTTACGTCTACCTTTGCTATAATGTAACACAATTCACTTTTGTTTACAAGGTGTTTCAACAATCACTTCAGGCAGCAATATAAATATTTTGACTAATCAGGCTTCAAACAAAACCCCACACATACCCTCCACAATGACTTTGGAGATCTCTGCAGGTGTGGGGATCTCAAACCAGGCCAGGTAGGCAGAAAGGTGAGAGGTTTCCTGACCCTTCAGCACCTCTCCCTGTAGGTACTTCACCAACAGCTCCATGTTGTCTGCAAAAATAACAAGAGGCCCAAGGGCCTTAGCGGTCACCTGAGTTATATCATAGATACTGGTAGCTTTATTTTATTGTTTAGATGTGATGTGGAAATCAGCATGTAAACTAAGTGAAATACAATACTTGTCATGTCATCAATGGATAAGAATTTGAAAATATTGGTAAATGTTCCCTTTGGGGCCCCGCCCTAGCCCCTGGGGATGGGGCAGGAATCCTAATTTTACAAAGTAAAACTCTCATTTACCCAAGATGATTCTGACTAAGTTTGAGCAATTTTCTGCTGAAAAT